CTCTAACCTCTGAGTTCAGGGCAGTCCACCCGCCTGGGCCTCACAGGGTGCTAGGATTACAAGCGTGAGCCACCACAACCGGCCACACCTGTACATTTAAATGAAGTTGTTTCCCCTGCCTCTCATTTTAGTATTAAATCTATGTTGTATTTTACAACCATAGAAACATAGTAACTCCTTCTCTATCCTGCTAAGGTGTTTGAAATGTTCACCACAAAACTCTAGAAGGTTCTGGTTTCAATAAAAATGTTTTCTCTAGAAATGTTACACGGTAACACATTGCAGTCTGTTGAAAAAATGAGCATGAATTATGCTATTACCCAGTCTAAGAAAACAGGTCCCTGAAAGAACAAAAGTCAAATTTTTCTTTTATGAAGATGGGTGTAGAGGGGAGGAGTGCCCAGGCGGCACAATTATGGGGACCCCCAAAGGAGACAGGGGAGATTGAAGGGCAAATGAAGAGAAAATAAGGGTGTCAAAGGCAAATTTTCACAATGGCTACCACACTTCCAAATAATAGGAACTCATTTATCTTAGTTAATATCCAGCTCACTGCTAAGCCAACACTGAACACAAGTTGGTTCCCAATAATACCCATAACTGGGCTTTCTGTCATTGTTCAAATTTGGTCAGTAATAGCAGCCTCCACGGAAACAGAAATGAAACCAAGAATTAAATATGGATATCTGCAACGTCAAACTTATTTTGCCAAGTATTTCAGCCAAGTGTTGAAAGGAAATTAAGCCAGCATTCACAAGAGCAATGAACTTTCTGACAAGTTTTAGATGTCAGCCTCCCGTGCTTTCAGGCAAAATGGAACAAGAAGGGCTGTACTTGGCCTTAAATCAACTTGCCTCCCTTCCAGGGGAGTCTTTGTTCCTGTTACTAGTGACTCACTCGGTCACTCTAGCCATCCCTCCACTGCGGTGGGTCTTGCTTTCTTTATTCTGCCCAGAGAACACCTGTAAAGGATCTGAGGTCCTAGGTAAAAACTGACATTTCAGTAGAATGTAATATTCACATAATGATGAAATCTATGACATCATTCTTCCAGTTCTCATTGTTATAATCCATAAAGACCTCTTGTATTCTCAGAACTATCGCTGGCGTGGCCTTGAAAGTGCAAACATTATTCTTTGGTAATGTTTGAAGCAGGATTTGAAACTGAACCAGGATTTAAAGCTGCTCTGTAATAACTACACTGCTATACTTACATGAGAATGTTTTAACATATGTTTAATATGTATCTGCCTTTTCAATAGAGCATAGTGCTGGGAAAAGGGGAGGATGGCCATAGTACAACAGACACAAAATATCCAATTTTAGCTTGACCCCTGATTGCCATGCTCTGGAATAGCATGTACTCTCAGAAAGACTGATTTAAAAATAAATAAATAAACTTTCTTCATTTTTTTCTTTTTAGAGACTTAATCTTGCTATGTTGCCCAGGCTTAACTCAAACTCCCACGCTTTAAGGATCTTCTGGCCTCAGCCTTTGAAGTAGCTGGGACTACAGGTACCCGCCACTATACCCAGTTGTCACTGATCCTTGACTAAGATGAACAATGGCACCACAGTGAAAATGGCACATAACTTAGGAATGCTGCAAATACATCCCTCACAACCACAATTAATATTTCCTCTAATAAGGAGAAGTGTTTTCCTCCTATGTATCTACCTAATATTAATAAATATTCCTTCCTTTTTGAAGAGGTTTGTACAACTTGACAAGGTCTATAGCAAAAATTAAAGTCCCTTTCAAGGTTTTTGGGCACTGCACAGAGAGTGCCCCAAAAAGCAGACACATTTTAAGAAAGCAGAAAACTGTATTAAAATTGTAATACTCGGCCTGGCGCCTGTGGCTCAAGTGGCTAAGGTGCCAGCCACATACACCTAAGGTGGTGGGTTCAAATCCAGCCCGGGCCCACCAAACAACGACGGCTGCAACCAAAAAATAGCCAGGCATTGTGGTGGGCATCTAGGGTCCCAGCTACTGGGGAGGCTGAGGCAGGAGATTCGCTTGAGCCCAGGAGTTGGAGGTTGCTGTGAGCTATGATGCCACAGCACTCTACCCAGGGGGACAGCTTGAGGCTCTGTCTCAAAAAGAAAAATGTAATACTCAATATCTACTGATACTAAAAGATGAATACAAGTCATGTTGAGCACCTCTCATAATTGCAGAAGCCAAACGTGACTTGAGTATTACACATATAATACAAACGTTTTCCTTTCTTAAAACATGTATACATTTTTTGGCACCCTCAGTATGTCTTTGGTTTTAATTCCTTCAACAAATCTCCACAAATTTTATATTCCTTTTTTCATGAGAGGTGGCCCATCTATACTCTCTTCTATCCTTTCCTTCTGAATCACCATTGAGAAAATTCTTATTAGTCTTGTAAAGTAGCAGAAAGGCAAAAGCCACAAGTATAGCCCAACTGAAGCCTAATTTAGAAGGTGGAAAGGACAGTAAAAACTGCTTGGCAGTGGGGAGGAGGAACTCACCAGGTCAGTAGTAGAATCCTGGAAAATAGAGGTAGAAAAAAATTGAGGGCTACAAAACGCTCCTGTACCAGACTGCTATTGCCCTGTCATAAATCCTGGCCAGCAAGATGGCAAAGCAGCCACATGGGGACAATTGGATTGGCAGGTGTGAATGTGCCCTTTCAGGCTTGTCAGTCTTCTTTACTGCATTCCTAGCTCGTCAGGAAGCGAGATGTGAGCCAGAACAGGGCAATGGATGCAGAACGAATTGTTGAATCGCCAGAACCAGACAGAGATGGGAGACAGCTGGCAAATTCTGTTTATAGAGGAGCATCGGGAAGGAAGATCGGAGGATCAGCATTCTATACACGGCGTTCTACAGACATCATCTTCTTTCATTATCTTAGTAGAAGCCCAGTAGGTTTCCTGAGAGGGTAACCAAAGGCCTTCTGCCTCTCAAGCCACATTCTACCCAGGGTGCATGTTTGGCTAAGTGACTGCAGTGTGTCAGAAAGGCTGGGGGTCAGGGGACCCATACTGTCCCTGAAACTTGAAAACTTACGGCATCTTTCCTGAAAAGAAGGGTCTAAGAGTGAAGACTTATCAGCAAAGGCTTTAGAGAAAGACAGACTGAATTCTACCGGCAGCTCTGCCCTTTCTGGCTGTGTAGACCTTGGGCAAATATCTTGAGCTTCTTAAGCTTTATATAAAGGCATAAATAAAGCTAATCGATGGGCACAGACAGACAGGAAAGTCACTGGAAATCAAGAAAGGGGAGTGCCTATCAGATACCATAAACACTCCAGTAGAATCTCCCTAGTTGACCACCTCCTTAAGTTGACCTCATATTCACAGACTGAACACATACGGCATGTACAGTGGGCCTAATTCCTTATGTTGACCACCTCCTTATGTTGCAGTCTCTTGGGTTCTCAATTTACAGAGGTTCTTCTGTATTCTACTGAGGTGACAGGCACACTAAAAGCCTTAACTTAAGCATTATAAAAGCGCTCCATTTAACAAAAACATCTGTGCTCCTTAATATTTTGAAAATTTTTAAAAGCCTGTGTAAGCAGATAGTAAGGACTGATAAACGTCATTTCATGTTATTATAATAAGTTGACTATCCATTGTTTTGAGTTTGATAGCTGAAAACATCATGAAGGGCAAGGGACAAATAACAAAAACTTTGGAGCTGGAAAAAAATTCCAGCCATGCATTTAGAAAGACCCGGACCGCACTGGGCCAGTAACCACCATGGTTTTTCCGCCCTAAACTTCCCTTTGCCAAAAGATCACCGCCCTCCATCCAGCCCCCACCACAGTCTCTGCAGGTCCTCACTGCAGAGAGGGGCATATTTTTCTAATTCAAAACTTGCAATATATGGCCTGACAAGTATTCCTAAATGTACTAAAGGAGACAAGAGTACAGATTATTTCCATCTGGTTCCAATTTAGCCATTCTAGGAAATGGTCCAAAGGGTACCCGCTCCCAGAGGGCAGCAAGGCAATACAAGCATCCTAATGCCACTCCCTCCAGTTTCCGCACCTCCCCTGCCCAGGTGGCAGGCACAGATGACCGCTGTACAGTGCGTTTACCATGCCAACAGGGTGTGGGGTAGAGGTGGGGGGCAGAAAGCATTAGCAGCCATGGGCACGCTGGGGTGAACTATTTATCAGGACATGCAAAACCGAAGCCTTGGACACACAAGGCCAGGACCATTACCCCACTAGAACTATTTCTCAGCAGAAATGCCACTTCAATGTGATGCCACTAGAGCACTTGATGTGCAGATACTGAGAAGGGGAAATGGAGCAAGTGCGGGGACGAGGGTGGGGCCGTTCTAACTCCTAACTCTGTCCACGACTGGCTTTGCCCCCAGAAGTCCAGGACCACAGGACCACGGAGTCGGATAACACCTCGGACGTACAATCTCTCCCAGCCCAGGCTCGGGTTTTACCGCTTCTTTTTCTCGAAATCCCCGCCAGGGCCGGGTCTAGAACTCCCCCTACGAGCTCATCACGTGCATAGCTCAGACTTTTCAGACCCTGCCGGAGGCCTGCGGTCCAGGGCGCCGGGGTGGTTTTTAGGGTTTTCTTTCTTTCTTATTTCCCTTCTTCTTCTCCACAGTTGATGATTTTCTGCAGAAAAACGGCTGCGGAAAAAGAACCTATTTCATTTCCACTTCCCATCACTGCTATTTCCACATGGATGTGACGTTGGGCCAGCTCCCGAAATGGCCAGGTGACTCACGAGGGGACACCCCGGGGCGGGGCGC